ATCGGATTAAATGCATATCAAATTAAATGCCGAGTATAGTAATTATCGCAAGCGGTACTAGGAAAAATTTAAGTATAGAAGCAACATTGTAAGAGAACAATTTTCTAAATCACTGGATGCTGCAATTAAGTTTGATGGACAATAGCATGATACGATTAGAATTAAAGTGTTTATTTTCTTTGTATTTTAGAAATTTTACACCACGACGCACCGTGGAATCGTATCCCGGCTACTAAGCGGGTCCACCCCCGGCGGGGCCACAGTCCGGCCACACTCATGTTATAATTCAAAAATTTTAAGAAAAAGAGCTTATTTTAAGATTATTATTTGCTAGTATTTGAATAATCGTGGGAACTCTTCCTGTTGATTTCATATAATTAAGATGAAGAATTCAAATTTGACTAATTAAATAATAACTCATGAAAATTACAATGTGTAGCTCCAGACAAGAAAATCAGCATTGTATCAATTAGCATATTCATTAAAATCGTTGTTTCGCCTCGCGTTTCCAATTTGAGCATTCCTAACTAAATACGCCACTGACTTAGATGTTTGACATTTTTCTTTATTTTCAGAATTTTCTATTGCGCGTATCAGCATTTTTGTCGCGCAGGAGGAAAACTCGTTATATCATACTCAGATTTGGGCTTAAAGTCAACTGATCCGCATTCCAGACGGAAAAATTGTGAGAAATTCCAAATCTCTAAGGTTCACAATTGAACGGAATCGATCGACAACAACAACAAAATACGGAGAAAGGAATATGTACAAAAACTTCCTAGGGCCATCATAAGTTGCCTAAAGATTGTGCAACAATTCCTCTGATGAACTCCTCTGAACATAGTGGCTTAATGATAACATTTCTTATCAGGAAATTAAAAAGAAAAATTAAGAGCACATTTCCCCAGGAAAAGTCCTTGTACTAAACGAATTTGTGATCTTCTATCACACGTAATGTTTTGAATTTGAATCCACTCTTCAAATAGGGGAAAAACAAATTAGAATTATTATTGCTCCGGGAGAACCATGCTCCCCTCTCGATCTCAAATCTCGGCGACAGGTGTCCACGTCGTGTTTATAAGCAGCGAATTTTAAATCCCGATGGCGAGATACGGCGAAAATGGAAATCGCAGTTTCCATAATATCATTTCAAGGAACAGGCCCGTATAATGAGAAGGGGGACAGGAAACTCTTATGTAAATCCACGTTTCTCGGCGAAAAACGTTCGGAAAACATTTCGGATTTTGTAAATGCTTCTTTTAACAGTTGACGGAGTGACGCACTGGCTCAAACATGCAAATGGGTACCTACACTTCAAGGCAATGTTAATCGACTGCACTCAAAGTTGCACGACCTAAGAGGAAAGGTCGACAAAAAAACTAAAAGAAATGTGCACATCCCCCGTGTTGCCAAATATTGAATAAATATACATGTTTTGTGTTTACCCATCATAACAAGCAATGTGGGTAAACGTATGCATTTTTCATACAACAGCGACAATTGGACCGCGTTTAACAGAAAAGAACCATGCCACATCAGCTATTGCCAAATTTAACTGGGCAATTTAATTTTTTATGAGAAAACGTTTCTGTGGATTCCTTTGAAAATTTTAAGGAATTCGCTTCGTACTAAGGAGAAAATTCGCTGAAAGCACGAAAATCCGCACAACCGTTTTCATGTAAAAAATTGAATTGCCAAATTAAATTTGACAATAGCTGATGAGGCTTGGTTCCTTTCTGTTTAACGCGGTCCAATTAGGGACGACGAGGGTTTTGATTGAGGGCTCTTCGGAAATTACAAGCTGTTTATCTTGTGTCTCAAGATCAAACCATGCTTTTAATAATATCATATTAATATAAATATCAATCATATAATATGAATATTAATATTAATAATATAATATTAATATGAATATGAATATTATATATTATTATCGTTGTCTTTCAAACGAAAGAACGTAACTAGATTTCACCGTTGCTATTTCCACTCGCAAACTGTAATTTTATGAAAGAAATTTTAGGGATCTCTAATTGATAATGTCAATGATTTTCCCCCTGATTACACGCATAAATCATCATAAGTTTGAATAGAAACTGCGCTGTCACACTTACTTCCTTACTATTGGGCACTACACAGCCCCCGTGGGCCTCATGTAACGAGGCATAATGTTCCCCTGGTAAAAATTGGCAGTAGAATCTGTGTTCCAAAATACCATAGACCTATAGCCGGCTGTAAGATTTCCAATAGCTTCTATAGCCGGCTACACAATTTCTTATAGCCTTTTATAGCCGATGGCGATTAAGCACCTCACAGCCAGGCGATAAAGTGTATGCTAAACGTCACAACTTACGGATGCTAGGACTTAGTGAGTTTTTGAATCACTGCTTTCTTTCTGGGCCGTAGTATCTTGATTTATTTTGCGAGGAAAGCTCCGTACTTTTGATGGATGTCTGCCATTCCTAACATATTAGAGCGCATTCAGTTTCGTATGATACTGTGCAATATTACTTGTGTAAAATAGTTGCTTCAAGCGCCGTGGCACGCTTCGGTGCGGCAGGCGGGCAGCCAGCGCGAAACGCGCATTGGCGCCTACAAACCTAACAGGGATACTTCACGCGTTGCGGCTGTAAGATTTCCAATAGCTTCTATAGCCGGCTACACAATTTCTTATAGCCTTTTATAGCCGACAGCAACAGCCAGGCGATAAAGTGTATGCTAAACGTCACTAATTACGGATACTAGTACTTAGTGAGTTTTTGGAATACTGCTCTCTTTTTGGGCCGTAGTATCTTGATTTATTTTGCGAGGAAAGCTCCGTACTTTTGATGGATGCCTGCCATTTCTAATATATTAGAGCGCCTTCAGTTTCGTATGATACTGTGCAATACCTCTGGTGTGAAATAGTTGCTTCAAGCGCCGTGGCAGGCGGGCAGCCAGCGCAAAACACGCATTGGCGCCTACAAACCTAATAGGGATACTTCACGCGTTGCGCAATGCGTGAAGTATCCCTGTTAGGTTTGTAGGCGCCAGTGCGTTGCCGCTCCGCTTTGTGTTAGGCTCTGATATTTAATCTGGCGGAGTCAGCGTTATTCAACTCATGATTTTGAAATGTTTGCACATCCTGTATGGATTATTCTCATTTTAATTGATGAAAAAAATATGTATTAAAGGAAAATATAATGTGTGTTTTGTAAATATTAAGGTGGTATCAAACTTAATGATTTCCAAAGCACACGAATTTCTACACAATTTCTTTTACCCTTTTATAATCGTTGGCGAAAAAGCAACAGCCAGGCGATAAAGTGTAAAGCCCGGCGATAGGAACTATAGCCCGGCTGCATAATTTTTTATCGCTTCGTATAGCCCGGCTGTATGATTTTCTGTAGCCTTCTTTAGCCGGCTGTAAGAATTCCTATGGTATTTTGAAACGCAGCTCTTATATCGCCAATTTTTACCAGGGTCTTTTTTCCTCTTTTTGCCTTTGGTCTTTTTCTACCTCAATCGCGCAGCCATTTCTTTGTAAAAAAAAATTGATTTGTTTGACAACTGCCCTGCCGAAATGTCCGACGCTCGAAGAATTTTCGAATTTCCCTCTTCGCTCCACGGAAAATGACCTTGGGCTGTGCTGTACTCAGAAATGCGTGATGGAGGGACGGAACTCCCGCCATTTACCGCGACGCGACGCAGGATCCTTGAATCCTTAATCCAAACCTTGAGTCAGTCTAGCTTTTGGCCTCGCGTGAAAAAATGTATCGATGTCTTAAAATTCAGTTTCAATTCATCCATACCTGTCACGAGCCGATTTTTCCGACCAGTAACGCAACATCATTAGCAGATTTTGGTCGTACTGGCCAATCTAGCGGGCTGTCTTTGAAATTGATAGACATAGAAGACATAGGGAGCATGGAGCCATCCTATTGGTTGAAATGGGTGGTTCTTATAGAATAAAGGGGTAAATGATGGACCGACTATCCCTCGTGGGTTGCCGTTATTTAGTATATTACCTACCTCCTTTTTCCATTGCAACCACCAACTTTCACCGATAAGATTCCTCCATAGTCCTTCCGTCTTCTTTGTCTATAAATTTGTCTATCAATTTCAACAATCAGCCCATAGCGCTTCCTACTAACTGAACAGTGTGGCAGTGAGTCAAAAATTGAATGGCCTCCTTGAAAAGTGATCGAGAGACCTTATTTTCAAAAATGGATTATTGCACGGAACTTTCATGTCAACCTGGAAAAATGTTAGGAGTGCGCAAACGGAATAGGATCAATTTATTAGAAGAGGGGCCTGCCCAGTATCTCTCTCTGTCCCTCTAGATTTGGTCTGAGAAAAAAGTTATGGAGGCTCATTTTGATGAGATTAAAAAATTACCGCTTCATTTCTTTGTGGATGAAGCGATTTTAAACGTGATCAAGACGTGTTCCTTATTGTCTAATTTTTGTGAATCAAGTTGAGGAATTAAGTATCAACTGATTTTTTTGTCATCAAAACTATCGTCAAGAATACGATCCTCGTAAAAAGGATCCGTGACACAACGGAACTTGCCATAAAATTTACAGTATTTCTCTCAAAATCCTAAAAGTTTACAGGAATCGAGTGTACATAAATTCAGACCTCAAATATGTCTTAAGAATGCAATAATTACCGAAACTATTTTGAATTAATATTTTTCTCGTTCTAGTTCAGTGTTTGACCTACGACTCAGATCGGATTAGCTTCGATGAACTCTAGAAGGAGTGCTAGTGGCCTGGGAGCTTTTTTGCTAACTAAAATGAATTTGACCGACAGGCTTGATGAATACCCACAATTTAAATCGTTTATCCTTGTTTAAATATTTTAATCATTGCATATATATTATTTCATTTTGCGTAGCATCCTAACATAATCAAAAAGTTTGAAGTTCAGTGCTGTTGCTGCATGTGTTTTGTATTCCTTTCTCCCATGTGATTTCATCATTTTTGCCTTGAACCATGTTAAGCTCTAATTTTTTGTTTCAGGCGAGGAGTGTTTATGGGGAAGGAAAATGTGTGTGGTATGGTGAGTGCGGTTTGAACGACGCTAGACAAAGTCTGAACTGTGCCTACGATGGGCCCCCGAAACCGTTCTCGAACGCATCAAGTCTCTCGGTGCTCCGCAAATTCTGTCCCTCACTTCTCGGAGAAAATCCAGGTAAGTTGTTTTTATTTATAAGATATTCTTCTTCAAAATTTGTAAAAATACTCATACCGTATGGTTTTATACTTTTTGTCAATCTGAAATTTAGGAAAAAAATCGAATAATAGTGATAAGTCATGTATTGACACGGTGGCAATCCACAAAACCACAAACCCTCGACTCACCTTAGCTTGAAAATTGCGGCGAGAAAGAGGTCCCGTTGATACGACTTTCGAGAGTTAAGGATCATCGCTTGGAGCTTTGGCCTCATTGATGGCCACGGGTTCATGTGTCCGCGCTGTCGTGCTAAGAGAAAACACCGTATGAGCCTTCAGGCGTTGCCAAATTTCCTTTGATAAATCACGAATTTCCTGGTAAATTTATGAATATCTCTCTTTCAGTTTTTTGACTAATCTTGTTCGCAAGTGCTTCTAAACCTAAAGTGCCTGAAAATTTCAAGGAAAGATATTCATTAATTTCCCTAAAAATAAACATTTTATCGGAGGAAATCTGGCAACTCTCGAATGTTCATACGGCGTTCTTCCTCAGTACGGCAGCATGATGCTACGCCGAATTTCGAAAAATTTTCCGAGAACTAGAATGATGAATGAGCTCCTCAAAAAGGTACACACCTCGTTCTTGACGAATGGAAAATCTAATGAGCTACGCGGGTAGCCTTACCTCACGAAGCTCCCCCCCCCCCCCCCCCCCNGGTTCGGCTCGCGAAAATATTGCGCTGTTATTCGCGCGTGCTAATGATGGCTAGCGCAAAAAAGTGACCTTCAATGGTCCACTTTCCGGCAACTCTCGTAAAATTTGATCGGATGCGCGGCTCAGCTCGTTTTCATACACATGAAAATTCCTCAATTTGATGCCAGATTGAGTAAGAATTTTTTGTCAGTTGGATATGGTTTCTTAGAAACAAATATTTATTCGACTAATTAAGTAAAAAGACATGCAATTTTTAGCACCGTATATACTATGGATTATTTTTTCCGTATTGTATATCGGATCATTAAATAGGACACAAATACTTTAAGCGTTGTCGGTCTATTTTGCCTGCTTTTTTTTGTTGCAAATTTTCAAGTCCATAATGGCCACTCCTTCCTTGACATTTACCAGTTTATTTACTCACAGTTAAATCCTTTTGGTAGAAAAAAGTTATACTCGAGCGATTTTACGCATTTTAAAACATTATGAATTATATGAAAAAACGTTATGCAATGAAGATGTAATCTGCCGATACATTACACCTTTAAAATTCCCAACCCGAAGCTCAAATTTAAATGTTAAATACTAACTGATCATACGAACTTATTTATCGTTATTACCTTGGCAGATATATACTTTTTGTAGAAATATTTTTAGAATAATGCAATGCACGAGCACGAGCAGTTTCTTGTTCTAAGATACGGTCATTGAATTATCCAACAAAATATTTGATTTTTTTTTCATCTTTTCTCTTTAACAGCGAAGTACTGTACTTCAAGAAACTGAGATCTGGAATACACGAGTAAAAACATAAATTGTTTCTTAAAACACCATCACTGAATAAACTCAACGATTAGTTCGACTATTTTTTGCAAAAGAATACTGATTAACTTTTGACGTCTTGTTCCACGTCAAAATAAATCGGTTCATTGTAGTCATCCCTCCCTTAATAATTATTTTTCTCCCTCTTTTTATTGATATCTTCTATTTTTAAATAAAGATTTGAGTTTTAAATTTGTAATGTAGACGAAAGGGAAGACCCGGGATCAGGTATCTCATTAACAGCACGCATTGTTGTGTACATCCTCCACGGTTGAATGATCCCCAAGGGCGTCTCATATGCTGCCGCTTAAGTAAAAAAAACACGTATGCGCCAAGAGTTTTGGTTGAAAGTATGTGATTTTTCTGCGGAGGGACCACATATTCCTGTCTTTTCCCCCATTCCAAGCCTCTTCCTGCGTGGGCGATACACTGCGAATTGAGAATCGTTAAGAAAGTTGGAACAATGTAAGTACGTGATTAGACGTTGCGTTTGTAGATAATGAAAGAACTTAACAGATCAATTTTTACCGACTGGGGCAAATCTCTGCTTGCACATATAGGAGCGGATCTGTGGCCCTCTCGAAATCTTTGGTAAAAAATTCTTGAAAAAAACTCACTTTCAGCAATTAGTATTTTCCCCCATCGGTCGTAATTTTAAGAATTTTTGAAAGTTTGGACTGGTACACAGAATGCTTGAGCTTTATGGCTTTCTCATAGAAGTTTAGTGCGTCTCAGGTCCAAAATAGTAGACAACTTCACGCTTTAAATTACTGAATATGTTACTTTAAATTACAGCATAAAATTATTAACTTTTCATTTCCGTTATTTACTATGCGATCATATGTGGACAATTTTAGAAAACTTCATGCTCCCTCTTCAGCATAAAAATTGTTTGTTAAAAGCTGGGTCATGTATCTAGTTCCTATATTTTTTCAAACTCATCTATTATTTCATTCTAAACTTGGAATAATATCCGACGATTCTTATCGTAAAAATTAGAATATTTCTACAAATGTCCCTAGATATGTGTTTTAACTGCAGGAAAGGAAAATTTTCATGGAAATGAGGCAACTTTGTGCGATGCACTTATGTAACTTTGTATACTCTCTGCACTTTCAATTTCATAGTTTATCTTAAGTACGGTAGATATTATAATCCATGATTGCTTGCATTTACATTGAAGTATTCAAAGGAGATTTGTTGTTTATGTGTTCAACAAATTGTCAGAGGACAATCGCCTCCTGACTTTTGCGTTGTCCAAACAAAAGGACCCTTCTTTTCCCCTCAAAGGATAATTTTGATACGTCAGTTTTTCTTTTTATACACCTTTAATGAAAAAAACTCATAAATTACGAGGAGCTGTTTGAAAAAAGCTATATCAGACCCTGACGAATTACCCTCCTCTCTAGTTCAGTACTATAACTCTCAGACCAACTTTACTCAGAAGGAAACCCTCTTTTTAGGAATACTGATGGACGTCTTGCGAAAAACCCCCTCCCATGTATTAATGGGATTGACACATGTATATTTTCAGACATATCGTTTACCTATTCTAAACTTTAATATCAGACAATTTTTATCGTAAAAATTATGATATATCTACAATTTTCCCTAGAAATATGTTTCTCCCGCAGGGAAGGCAAATTTTGAGTGAAAGGCAGTGAGTTTCTAGCCCAGACATGCAATTTGTGTGACTTAAAGTAAAATAGTGTACCAAGTATGTATTGTTTCTTGAACGGAATATTCAATTAGATCATTAAACTATAGGTAATAAAAACGTTATTTTCGTTCCGTTTTTGCCCTTCCCATTCAAAGTCCCTTTAGTGCCACACTAATGGGTAGGACAAACTTTCCAGTTTATTGAGGCTAACTTATTTTTTTATCTCTGCATTTTCCCTCTTACTCCAGAAAAATGTACCCACAACAAGATAGACCGAGTCAGAGACTGTAATTTCTTCTTTTTTTCTTCTTCTGTCAATCAATTAAAGCTCCAAGTTCGGGCTGTGCGCCAAGAAGAGTGTGTCATCAACTGAGCCCAATGCACGATTTCGCCGAGCTGAGAGAGGACTGCGAAATTTTGACCCACGCTGTATTTGCGGTCCAAAAGCGAGAGGAAGGGAGGGGGCGGAGGGGGGGGAGGCGGAAGAGCAAGAGGAGGCGCAATTCGCGAGCTCAGCGATCTAATTACAAGTCCCGCTAGCATGCGCGGCTAGAACCGATTGTTAAGCCAGCCGGCGACGCCATCACGCGATCAACAGCGAGGCCGGTGGGAGAAAATTCACACACGCCATCAGAAAACGGAAAACGGCCCCAAACCTGGCCGGAGAGAAAATCGGAATTGTTGTATCAGAATTTTTTTTTCTTTTTTTCTTCTTCTTTTTTAGTGCATGTTTCCACAATTTTTATGACTTCCTCGCCATCCACTGCCGGAAGGCGTGGCGGTGGGAAAACGAAATTTTGCAACACTCATGATGTCTGATCGGTGATGCTAGATCAGCTGCATTACTCACACAATCGCGCCTATACTTGAGAATTAAACGGAGTGGCATAATTTTTCCATTTTTCCAGATTATTTTTCCATATAGTTCCCTGCCACTAAAAACTAAATTATGAAAAAAAGAGTTTGATCTCTCTCCC